CCAAAAAAACAGGACCCAGGCGTCCAGGTGCCAGCTGGGTGCCGACCAACGCCCCCCTCCCACCCAAACTTGTCCATACTGGTCCAAACTGGGCCGCACCCAGCGCCGGGGGAGCCTGAACCTTGTGCGTGCCTCAGTTTCCCCAGCCGAAGGAGTCGGGTTGCTGAGGAAAGGGGGCTGGGGGGATGACTGGGACTCGCTGGGAGGTTACTGGGAGGCACTGGGAGGAAGCACTGGGGGGCACCCACCATGGCACAGCGCAGGCACTGCCTCCAGCGGCACTTCTGGCGCTTGAGGTTCTGCCCCCCGAATTTGGGCTTGTCCCGGCAGAAGTCACAGCGGCCGCAGTCGGCCGGGCGCCGGCAGGCTGCGCACACCCCGCAGCGCCGGCTGGCCCGGCTCCGCACCCCCCGCTGCCGGCAGAGAGCAGCGTCACCCCCGGGTCCCCAAGTGTCCCCAGGGCCCGCCGCAGGGAGTGTCCCCAGGGCCTGCCCGGTGGCGTGGTGTTAGTGTGGGAGCAGCTATTAGGAGAGTTACGGTAGATGCGGCAGTATTAGGGGTATTACGGCAGCCAGGCAGCAGCAGCGGGTTAGGCACAAGGCAGACATTCCGGTAGGAGCAGCTATTAGAGGCATTATGGTACTGAGCCCCAGTATTTGGGGCATTACGGTATCTGCACCCCGCTATTAGAGGGATTGCAGTATCTGAGCCCTGCTATTAGAGGCATTACGGTATCTGCACCCCGCTATTAGAGGGATTGCAGTATCTGAGCCCTGCTATTAGAGGCATTACGGTATCTGAGCCCCAATATTTGGGGCATTACGGTATCTGCATCCCACTGTTGGTACCTTGGGTTCTACTATTAAACCCATAGTGAGTATTACGAGAATTATGGTAACCAAACCCTGCTCTGAGGGGTTTTGGGGTACCTGAACCCCATTATTTGGAGCATTGCAGTGCTGCAACCCCACAGCCAGGGTTGCTCAGACTGTGCATCAGTTGTGAACAGTTTTTGGGGTGTCACAGTGACCTGGCCCCAGTATTAGGGGTATTATGGCACCCCACAATTAGTGAGGTTTGAATGTGCTGAGCCTTGGAACAGCTCATAGGATCATTATGGTACCTGCACCCCATTATTGTAAGGCCTGAACCCAGTATTAGTGGCTGGCACAGCTTTTAGGAAAATTACGGTATCTGCCCTCCGTTATCCTGAATCCTGATCGTCAGCATTAGGGGCTGGAACAGCCACTAGGATCATTACGGTACCTGCACCCCAATACTGCCCCCTTTTACAGCCCCCTATATTAAGGGCATTACGGCTTCCCCCCTGCCCCAACAGCTGCTCTGGAAGGGGCGTGGCCACTGTGGAAGGGCGGGGCTAACATACATGGGGCGGGGCCAAGGCCTGTCACTCACCCCGCGGGGCCCAGGGGCCTTCGGGGGTCGCCCCGGCTTCTTCTTCTCCTTGCCCTTGGTCAGCAGCTTCTGGGAGGGAGGGGGGGTTTGTGGGGGGGGCTGGGGGGTCCAGGTGTGCCCAGGTGTGCCCACGGGGGTCCCACTCACTCTGTGCCTGGCGCTGGAAGCGTCGCTGAGCTCCCGCTCCACGAGGGGCTTCCACTTCTGGAGGGAGAAATGGGGCTGAGGGGGGCACCCTGGGGTCCCCCCTCCCCCGGAACACCCGGGGGTCCGCGCTGTGCCACTGCCTGGGGGTCCCGCACTCACCTCTGTCAGGAGCCGGGGGCTCTGCGGCTTCTTGGCCACCCTGGCTTTCTGGGGGGACACAGGGTGGGGGGCGTCAGCAGGGGACAACGGGTGAGGGGACACCCCAGGGTGACACCGGGGCAGGAGGGAGGAGGGGAGAGCAGGGGGGTGCCGGGGGTCCCAGGGAAGGTCGGGGATACTAGCTCTGGGGGTCCCAGGGAAGGTCGGGGATGCTAGGGGGGACACTGGGGGGCCCAGGGAAGGTCGGGGATGGTAGGGGGGACACTGGGGGGCTCTGAGGGGACAGTCCCACCTTGGGGCGCAGGCAGCGGCGCCGCAGGCAGCGCCACTGGCGCTTGAGGCCGGGCTGCAGGCGCCGCAGGCAGATGCAGCAGCTGCCGCAGTCCTCGGTGCTCAGGCAGCCGGCGCAGGAGCCGCAGCCCAGGCCCTGCAGGGATATGGGGGTTACCCGTGAGAGCAGGGAAAACACGGGGAAATATGGGAAAATATGGGAAAATAGGGGAAAATAAACAGGGGATAACACTCGAGGATATAGGAGGACGTGGGTGAATGAGCAGCTGCAGACAAGGGATGGGGACAGGGGGACAAGGCAGGAGCCACAGCCCAGGGGATTACCCGGGAGAGCAGGGAAAATACAGGGAAATATGGGAAAACACAGGATAACAAACATGGGATAACACAAGAGGATACAGGAGGATATGGGTGAATGAGCAGCCACAGACAAGGGATGGGGACAGGGCAGGAGCTGCAGCCCTGTGGGGACATGGGGGCTACCCGGGAGAGCAGAGAAAACACGGGGAAAAACATGGGAAAAAAACAGGAAAATATGGGGAAACATGGGAAGAAAACAGGGAAAAAACATGGGGAACAAACATTGGGAAAACAATACAGGGAAGCAGGAAAATATGGGGAAACATGGGAAGAAAACAGGGAAAAAACATGGGGAAAAAACATGCAAAAAATCAAGGGAAAATATCGGAAAATAACTACGTGATAATATAGGGAAATATAAAATAAAATGGGATAACATAGGGGGATATAAAGGGACATGGTGAATATGCAGTCACAGACAAGGGACAGAGGGACAGGGGACAAGGCAGGAGCTGCAGCCCAGGCTCTGTGGGGACACGGGCAGGACATGGAGTAACACAGAATAAAGTGCAAAAATATGGGATAACATGGGATAACATGGGAGGATATTGGACATGGGTGGACGTGCTGCCACAGATAAGGGACAGGGGGACAGAGGGACAGGGCAGGAGCCACATCCAGGCCCTTCAGGGAACGTGGAATAATGTGGATAACCAGGAGTAGAGTGGAATAACACAGAAAAATGTGAGATAACAGGGATAACACATGATAACATACAATAATGTGGGGTATCAGCCACACATGGTAACACTGGTAATGTTAATTAACACAGATTAATGTTAATTAACTAAGCACCACATGCATGCTCAGACAATGAAGAAGAGGACATGGAGGTGACAAGTGACACAGGGGACACACAGCCTCGTGGTGACACAGGAGGTGACAGTGACACGTGGAGAGGGAGGATTATGGTGACATTGGGAGGGTGACACTGACACTGGGGGGTGCTGGTGACACTTCGGGGGGTGACAGTGACAGTGGTGGGGGTGACAGTGACAATGGGAGAGGGAGGATTGCAGTGATACGAGGGGTGTGGCACTGACATGGGGGGTGCTGGTGAC